ACATCATGTGCTACSGGTGGTTATCTTGGTTAATAGAGAAAGAAGATGTYATAARTTTTAAGAAGATAGGAAGAAGAAATCGACAAGAAGCKTGAGGRAGAAGTTTGCAGAGACAATTGATTCAAGGTTTGCTTATCMCAAATTTATCATGCTTAGAACATGAATTGCTCAGAGTCRCTCGATTTGAAGATTGTTTGGTTCGATTAGGGTACRAGTATCACACGATTATCACAAGAAATCCGAYTTCTATYGGTTCGACTAGGRTTACACATATCTACTTGATTCGTATTTKGGTGTGATAATCATGGGATACATTAACCCAAAGATGAATCGAGTAGCACAYGATTTTCAYAAGATACAATTCGTATATGGGTCTGACTACAATTTGTTCAGTTCGGTTAGGTTCCACWATCACACGATTATCACAACCCAATTGTGTATAGATTATCACACGATTATCATCTAGTACGACTGCACTTTGTTCRGTATCACAACCYTATCGATTATCACRCTGTTATCATACCCAATAGATAAAAAATAACTGTGATGGAAATTTGGTGGTTGTATCGATTAGGTTCACRATTATCACATTGTTATCATACYCAATGGATACAAAAAGAATGTGATGAGAAATTTGGTGGTTGTATCGATTAGGTTCACGATTATGTGTATTTTTCGTTTCACTAAGTGAATCAAAAAAAAGTTCCACATGTAATTTTTTTCATAAGGTGAATACAAACTTATGTGAAACAATATGTTAAGTCATAGATTTTGATTAAAAGAAAGATAATGTAAAAAGATATTTTATATCGGTTTGTACAAGTTTGTAAATTTTTTGTGGTTCTTATTTTATTATCATTATTTATACATACATACATATATAGCGTTTGGTTCAAATGTTAAACCCAAACTATTGTGTTAACTTTGTTAACCATTTTCAGTCAATCACAATCCATCTTAGTATTAAGCTCCTATCCATCTTAGAATTTAATGACAAGGGTACATATGTAATTTTCTTTTTTATGTAACTCCTATATCAGTAATTGGGAGTTACAAAATCATAAAATCTCGTGATTTATGTTAATTTTATTATTAATCTTGTTATTTTTTTTAATATTGATTTTCTATCTCTAATGTTTATGAATTTGTGATTGGTAGAGGAGACCTGGTAGTAAAGTTTCGGTATCGTTCAAATTGACATATACGAAAGATGATGAACATGTGTGACCATATTACACACACACACACACACACACACACATATATATATATATATATAGAGAGAGAGAGAGAGAGAGAGAGAAAGAGAGAGAAACGATCAAATGCAAACCACTCAATTTGTACAAACCGTGCAAAACACCGTCATCCGTCGATTTCATTGTTTAATCTTATGAAATTCTTTCATCAAATTGTTTAATCTTGTGAAATTGTTTTATATAATACTTTTTGATGAATTTGTTTCATATATGGTTATGAAATTGTTTTATATAATACTTAATGAAATTTTAATGAAATTGCTTTATGTATTTCTCTAAAATTAAAATAATGAAGATGATAATATACATGATTAACATCATCTACAATAAAAATGATTAATCAACCTCTCATAATTACAAAAATATGAACAAAATGAAAAATTATGATTTATTGAATGAGGTTTGTACGGTTTATACAAATAACGTGGTTTGCAAAGTAAACTTCCCCCCTCTCTCTCTATATATATATACTAGAAGCGTACTCGCGCAATGCAGCGAGGTACATCGTGATTTTAATATTTCATTTTATTATTTATCTCAGTCGATGTTATAATATGGCTTTATGTGATTTTGAGAAATCGATGATGTTTTTATTTTTGAATAAAATATATGTTTGAAGATATCATAAAAATTTGACAAAAATATATCGATATTAGTATC